ATGATAGAGATATATTGAAGAGAGAAAGTTTTTTTTTTTCTCTTCTTTTCGTCTATATCATCATCGCTCCATTCTAGAGTCACACGCACGTAATGCGCATTTATATACGTATATTAAAAATATATATTTGAGTCTTCTTCGCTTCTTATTCCATGGCACATTCCTATTGTTGCTCGACTTAAACACGCACTACAATAGATAATTCACAAAATCTTCTCTCTCTCTCTCTCTCACTCTATTCTTTTCTTCAATTTTTTTTCTCTCTACCCTTTTATTATTTCATTATGTCCTCTTTTTTGCGGTGAAAAAAAAAATCTTCTTAAGTACGTATATATATGCACTTGCAAAACAATTGTCCTACCTGGTAACGTAATTTGATGCACAAGATTACGCAACTGCGGAAGACGTAATTTAGAAATTATGACAGTTAGAGAAATAGCTGAGAAAAATATTTTTTTTCTGATGAAATTCAATTTTCTGTGTGAGAAATGAAATTTGAAAAAACATCTTAAAAATTTATTTGAATTTTCTACATTTGGAATTATTTTCTATATAATAATTTACAAAAGTTAATTTTCTATAAATTTGAAAAAATTTGAAACTATGATTAAAAAATAATTTTGAATTGAAAAATGTTGATTTAAAAAATTATTCATTCCGAATGATATCGAAATCGTGAGAAAATTTTTTTTTTGTATATCGTCACATATGTGTGAAATTTACATAAATTTTTCCGCATTTTAATGTCACGATCAAAAGGAAAGTTCGATTATGTGCTACACTTTCTGATTACATGCGCCTTTCATTGTGATTTAGGCCGAAGAAGAAAATTCATTCGAAACAGAATTACGCACATATTACGTACTTTGTATCTTGACACAGTTTTCATCTGGCACATAAGTATATTTATACTTTGAGTCTACAATAAAGAAAAAAGAATTGACAACGTAAGTGAATTATACAGATTTACAGCTTTTTCACATTTTCCAATTATTTTTCTTTCCTCGCCTCTTCGAAGCAATTTGAAAGAAAATTTGCAACTCAAGAAAAACGAGAAGAAAATCTTTTTCGGAAAAATATTCTTCTTTGTGTCTCTTCTCGTAATTTTCTTTCAAGAGAAGTTCCTGGAGAAAAAGTTTCTAGAGAAAAACTTTCTGGAGGAAAATTTTCAGAATTAAATTTACATCACTGGGTAGTTATCGCAAAAGGGGAAAAGAGAGAAAAAAAGGCAATATTGGTGAAAGCGATCAAAAGCTGTAAAACTGTATAGACCTTCCTCAATCCTAAAGGAAGTAGCGTTAATTCAGAGTTGCGTAAACTCCGCCGTCCGTTATTATAAGGGCTTCTATTTATATAAAATATAATATCAATGAGAAAGGTCCTTGTTAAAATAGGAAGTTATTTAAATACATAACGTTAGTATTTATATAATTCATCGCAAACAAAATGAGCCAAAAGAATTACAGTCTTTATGTCTCATTAAATTTTTTCTCCACAGCAAAGAATGAAAAAAAATACGTACATATGAATATAATAAAATAGTACATATAATATTATGAATATAAACAGCATGGGAGAAAAATATTTATAATGATACAGATCTTTGCGTTTTATGTCTTTTTTAATAAAACCCTCAATTTACATGACTGTGAAATATTTTAGCTCATTTTTCTTTCTTCTGAGTATATTTCTCCATGGTACACAGTCGATTACGCTCATTTTCCGTTGTTTCTCAGTTTTCTTTTCAAAAAAAGAAAACCTACAATTAATGGCGCATTCTTTCATTGTATCTGACTCGATTATTTTGGTAGTAAATTCTAATATATTTGTCTTATTTTACGTTCGTAGAGTTTTTTTTTTTTATACAAATATTTACTCATTAATTGTAACTCATGCCAAGTTTCTGGGAAATTTTGGTCAATTTTCCCTAGTTTAGTAGAATTTAATCTGTGAAATAAAGATTATTTCTATCGATTTGAAATGAAAAAAGAAGTAAAAATTACATAATTGGATTATAGCTCGTGAGTAAATAATTTTTCATAGTCTATTACTTTTTTTTCTTTCATTTGGACAATAAAATGTGCTATTACCCGACTCATGGATAATTACTATAGAGAAACTATAATAAAGTTTAAGAAACGATAATTCTTCATATATTTGCGATTTACAACGACCTATCATCGTGCGGCAATAATTATTCTAACGGTCGCATTTCTCATTTTCAAGATATGAAAAATATTTTTCTGCCAGGCATTTTACGCTTTTAATGACTATATCAATATGCAGGCATTTAAAGGAGAATGCGGGTGAATTAAAATGAGAGAAAAAAGAAATAAATGTTGTAAAAAAAAGTGACTTTTCTAAATCGAAGGTCGTATTCAGGTGTTTATGTTAAATTGAATAGAAATAAAAAAAATGTGTATATATAGGAGAAAAGAGTAATTGAGTGTCTTGCTTGGCTCATCCTGCGATCATCGTATGGAATGATTATTGCTATCGATGGCGTAATGTCCACTTTATTGCCTTTCTATGTATTTATATATGATTGTCAGCAAAAATTATTTTTTTTTTTTTTTTGACTTGAATATGTGTGTCAAGTATTTTAAATGCTGAGGAAATCATTGATATAAAGAAACAAATTCTTGTTGATTATGAAATTATATAAAAATATATATTATTTTGTTTCGCGACATTTACATTTTTTTTTATTGGGAAATTTTAATTATTTTTCACAACAAAATAATTTTGTTTTCAATGAATAAAATTGTTTTCAAAATATATTTTATTGTAAATGTTTACATTATTATTTGATATTATTTAATTGTTATCATTATAATTATTGATAATATTATTATTATTATTATTATTATTAATAATATTATTATTAATATTATTTGATAATAAAAATTTTGAAAATAATTTTTATTCTATTATTTGTAACTAGTTTTTATTATTTTCGAAATTAAATTTAGTATTGTGTCTGAAATTGGTTCAAATGGTATTAAACACATTTTTTTACGTCTAAATTACCTTTAATAATTCTAATTGAAAATAATTTAAGGTATGTAAATAATGTTGTCCTCAAAAGCAATTTGACAAGCGTCCATGTTCTATTTAAAAAAAAAGCCGTAATTCTTCGCTCGAAAATACTCGAAAATATGATAATTTGTTTCTTTATCGCACGAAAACACTAATTATTCATGAGCCATGTGTGTTTATTTTACACTGAAATTGTCAATTTTGTCTGGAAATTGAAATAATAAAAATAAAAATTTTTCTTAGATTTAGATTTTCGAAATAATTTTTTATTGATAATTTTATTATCAATTTTATTATAAATTTTATTAAATTGATTTTTATTATTAATTTTTATTTTTATTATTATCAAAATTGTTATTGAAACACGAATTATAAAAGTGGATTTTTAGTTATTTATTTTTTTGGCATTTAAAATATTTTCTACTTCGAAAAATATTAAAATTGTTTCTTTCGTTTTGTTTGCAGGAGACCGATTTAAGAATGAGGTGTCGTCTAAAATATCTCAAAAGCAAGTTTTTTTTCAAGAAAAAGGAAGTTGATATCTGATGACGTTTTAGCAGACTTCGTTTTTGTTTTATCCGACAATGATCTTTCCAGAAGAATTATTTCTGAGTAAAATAGGAACGTATTTCCAGAAAGAATCACATGCTTATAAGAGCGTCAACCATCATAAATCCTTTTTGTGAGTATAAATCAAAAATGTCTCTTAAAGTTTTGAATTCTCATATATGAAATGATCCAACAACTGTTGATGAATGTTCAAAAGAACCAGATATTTTTTATTCCAAATAAAAATAAAATAAAATTCGTTCAAATGGACGAAATATTATTTATTAAAAATATAAAAATTACTGACTTGAATAATTATATGTAAAATTAAAAACTAATTTTATATTTAGGAACTTATAATAAATTTTTTTTTTGTAGTGATAAATTTTTTTATAAACAATTTTTTTATAGTAATAAAAATTTAATATGAAGAAGAAATAAATACATTTTGTAGATTTGAATTATCTGAACTTTAGAATCATTAAATTAAGGAAATTTATTGATTTCTTCTTCTTCAAATCAAAATTTTATTTGCAATAAAATTGCATAACGTACTAAAGAAATAAATTTTAGTTTCTAAACGTTTAATTTTGCTTTTTTTTATAACAGTCAGTTTTTATTTGGAAAATATTTATATTGACGAAAAAATGTTTATTTTAAAGTTTCGGTTCGTTTGAACATTCAAAGCTTTAGGGACATAATCATAGCATTTTTTTGTTGTTGCAATTTTTATAAAAATAATTGAATTTTTACCAGCATTTAATTAAAACTTTTGAAAATATTTCAATTTTTTGGGAGAAATTGTATAAAAATTGTACTAAAAATAATTAAATTCTTGTGTAGAATTATATTAAAATTTTTATAAATAATTGAATTCTTTCGAAAAGGTATAACATTTTTTTAAATAATTGAATCTTTTTGAGAAATTTTATTAAAATTGTAGTGAAAATCATTGAATTACATTGAAGAACTTTATTACTCATAAAAAATAATCCAATTATTGCGAAGAATTTGGTACAATTTTTTCAAAATAACTTAATTTTTTAAAAAATTGTATCGAAAATTTTTAATTAATAATTGAATTCTTTCGATAAATTTTATTAAAATCGTTTTGAAAATTATTGAATTGCGAAGATTTTTATTTCCAATTTTTCAAAAATAATTGATTTCTTATTTATTATTTGTAAAAATAATTGAATTCCTGCGAAGAATTTTATTACAATTTACATAAAAATAATTGAATTCTTGCGAAGAATTTTATTATTTATCAAAATAATTGAATTCTTTCGAAGAAATTTATTAAAATTTAAAAAAATAATAACTAATAATTAGTTAATAAGTGAATTTTAAAAATTTTTGATTCTGAAATTATTCAAAGATTGAATTTGATATTTGAAAATAAAAATTTTTGCAATTTTCAATATTTTTTACTTAATAAATATTTTCAATATTTTTAATATTTGCTTTATTCTGTTCTAACTTAAGAAAAATTGCTTATACATGGCATTAAAAATTAATACTTCAGTTACCAACAAGGGAAATTTAATTTTTCCAACGTAAAATCAAAATTAGTTTTTCCTTTTATATTTTTTTCAGGGCTAAATTTGTTATAAATATAGTTTTGAACGTTTAAATGAACGAAATACATGCTATTAAAAATATTTCCAAAAATGACAGATTGTACTGAAAATTAAGAAGTCGAATTTTTATGAACGATTTTATTTTTTTTAGAAATTTAATCAATTAAATTTACAGTAATAAAAATTTAATTTGAAGTGGAAACAAATAAATTTTCGTTCATTTCAACGTTCAGAACTTTAGGATCATAATTTGTTTGAAATATTTTCAAACAAATTGAAATTCGAAAATAGATTTAATGAATGAAAATTGATTTTCTTTTGATTGCGGAAAAAAGTTTTTTTTCCCTTCAAAAAAGTCTCTTCTAAGACATATGAATTTTTTGCGAGAAAATTACGGTATAGTTACGGTATTATTATTGAAACAAAGCGCTACGTGGTTGAAGGGAAGTTTTAATAAAAAAAATTCCTTTGCAGAACAAGGCATGAGTACTTGGATCAAGAGGTAAAAGTTCTCCCGCGAGAAAAAGAATTGTTCTTCTTAGCGGGGCCGTGGCCTCGGGAGAGGCTGTGGCGGTTGATGTTGCTGATGATGATTATAGTGCGAATTGGCCGTCCTGATGTGCGGTCCAGGTGGATAGTGTCCATTCTCCTGATGATGGCCATCGTCGAGTGTCAGCCCAGCGACTAATTGCTCGATCTCCTTGTCCTTCTTGGCCTTGGGCACGGGATTACCATTGGGAATGCTGAAGCCCAATGAGGCGAGACTTCCGTGACTTCTGCTGCGATGTTCGGCGCGAATGCTGTACGAGAATGCCCTCTCGTTCAGGTGGCCCTTGCGGCGGTAGATTCCGGTGCCAAATCGTGAATCGTTCTCGGGACTCTCGGTGGGTCGGGGCTCAGGGGCCGTGAGGTCGGCGTGTGACGCTGCCAGGCGGCGGGAGTTGTTCAGCGTTGAGTTGTCCACTTCCGGATAGCGTCTGCCGCGATTTCCGGCAGTACCGTAAGTGCCTGCGGTGTACATGGCTGCGGGCGGTGGGGGCACGAGAGGTGCGAAAACCGGTACGACGGGCGCCGCGGCCGGGATTGGTCGCAGGCCACGGGGATGATGGTGGGCTTTTCTGGGGAGGGTGGCGGCTGGGACGAGGAGGACTGGGGCTGGTCGGGCGAGTGTGCCGGCGATGGATCGACTGCTGGGGGGCAGTTGATGGGGGTGGTAGTGTTGCTGGCGGATGGGGTGGCCGAGAGTGTGGTGGCCGTGGCCGTTGGTGTAGAGGGTTTGGTGGTGCATCTGGGGGTGGTGGAGGTGCTGCATCTGGTCGTCCTGGAGACGGTTTTTGAGTTTCTTGAGCTTCTTGCTGGACTTCTTTTTGGAGGTCATGGATTCGTCGAGCATGAGTGGTTGGGTCGGGGGTGGAGGAGGTGGCGGCGGGGGAGGAGGCGCGACGAGTTGGCGAGGCCTGGAGCCCTTGGTGCTGCGGAGAGTGCCCTGCTCCTGGTAGACGCCGTCGACTTCGTCGCGACCGCGGGCCCAGACCTTGTGGTTCTCGTCGCCGTTGTAGAGGCTCATGTCGTCCGATGGGGTCGTGTCGAGCCTGGTGATGGGGGGACTGTCGAGCGTGGTGCTGGAGCCGCCGAGAGTGTGGTAGAGACTTCCGGTCTGCTGGGGAGCGATGGTGCCGTTGGTGTTGGGGCTGGCGGGGTCGAGACCCTTGGCGTAGCTGCTGTCGGCGTAGGCGTGAAAGCAGCACCTCACCAGGGCATTGGCAGCCATGTCGCGCTTGCAGATGAAGGCGTGGCACTCGAGAACTTTGATGCCAGTTGTTCGCCGGAGAACAGCGGCGAACAGGGGCGGATGATTGGCACTTGGTGTTCGGGCGAAGGGTGAGTCGAGGGGGAGGAATCGCGTTGCTGATGCATCGCTGTTGCCGCCTTTCACGTGGCGCACGGCGGCGCAATAGTGCAGGGCCTCGATGGGAAAGAACCTGGTGACCTTCTTGCGATGCTCGTCGACGTTCTCCAGCAGGAGACCGTTGCTCCAAACGCTGAGCCAGGAGTCGATGCCGCGTGCTCCTAGCGCCCCTTGCTCGGGATAGAGCTCACGAAGTGGCTCCTGCACTCCGAGTAGGCCCTCTTTGCTCGCATGTGGCACGGAACTTCCCAGGTAGAGCACCCTGCAGCGACAATACGGCGTCGCCGAGTCGTGATTTGCCCCTCTCATCTTTTCGCTTCAACGGTCACGACTCGCTATCGCTTCACCTACTCTTCTCTATCCCTCGCCGAACGGGATTTTCAACACTGAGAATAACATACGCGATGATTTCTTCTCTCGCACTTTTGACAACTGTCAAATTGAAAAATTTTTATTTTCTTTCAGGTGACACACACAGACACTAATCATGGGTCACGAGACGAATCACAAGAATCTAAAAACATTGGGGGAAATCACTGATGGAAGTGTGGAGCCTCGAAAGCACTCAGATGGGAAACACTGTCTGAAGAGGAGAACACTTGTGAGTAATCACTTGAAAATTTGTGTTTTAGAGTAAATCACTGATCGAGTGGCGAGAGATCACTGAGGGCATGGAATGACATGAGGTTGCGTAGTCAGCGGTAGACGTTATGATTGCAAAACTATCCAAGGAGTTCTAGATTCGATTTCGCAGCAGCTGTAGCCGCCTCGAGGAGATCGCATCAAGCCATTATGGCTGCCTCCTTTCCATCTAGCTGCCCCTTCCACCTGCAGTCTCTCTCTCCTGTCCCTCCGCCTCTACCTTTCTTACCTGGCTACCTCACTCTCCCCAACTCTCCCTCTCTCTCTTCTTCTCCTCCTCTTCAACTTTTTTCCCAGGTCTTCGAGCGAGGTATGCAGCGTCGTGGACTGTGTACGTACGTGCCTCCAGGAATTCAACGTGTTACCTGTGTTGGTAGCGGTGGAATCTGGAGGTGCGGCTGCTGCAGAGGCCGCGGTTTTCGCGACTTTTTCACTCGAGCCACGAGGCACCGTTCAAGCTAAAGCACTAAAGACAACTTCCGGCGTTGGAATAAAGAATCGTCGCTCGGAACTTCTTTTGTTTGCTGGTCCCGGTCTCACGAACTACGAAATCAGAAGGAAAAAAAAATATTAATAAACTTTGAAATTTCACAGAAACGAGAAGTAAAGGTTCTAGCGGTGAAGGCGGTCTGAACCGGACTGCTGGGAATTGAAATCCGACGACGACGATGCTCAGCAAGGAAGAGAGGTGGAATAAAAGAGAGAGAAAGAGAGAGAGAGGAGGGGGCTTTTAGTTATTCAGCAGGTATTCAAGAAGTCGGGGCCCCCGAACCTCGCAGGGCACCTGACAAGCTCTTTGGCTTGCTTTAAAATTCTTGCCTAGTTACGCACCTACGTAACCTGCGTGCACGTGCAGATGGAGTCGACGGTCTGCCCTTTATAGGTCAGAGATTGCGCAGGGAACCGATCAACAAGTGGAAACGAGGGAAATCCAACGTCGTCGGGTCTGTCACCTCTTGCAAATTTCGAGGTCTCGAGGTCAGGATGTCTCGAAATTCGCCATTCAAACAGACACCTGTTGAGGCCAAGATTCCCCGCTGCGGGTCAATCAGCACTTTTCATCTCGGATTCACATCCAAACTTTCAAGGGATCGAAATTTCCGAATCATTCACTGATCGATATTCATTTTTTTTTAAACCAGTTTTACCGAACGATATTTTTTTATTTTAATCAGAATTTTGATTTTGTTTGCTTTTTGTTTTCTAATTTCTCTTTTCAATGAAAATCAAATTGTTTTCAATTAAAAGTATTTCTTTTATAATTTTTAAACTGAAATAACTGAATTCTTTTAAAGAGACATATTGTACAAATTTTTCAAAATAATGAAATTTCTTGAGAAAAATTTAATTAACATCTTTAAAATAATTAAATAACTTAATTCTTACGAAAATTTAATTAAAATTTTTCAAAATATTGAATTTTTGCGAAGAATTTTATTAAAACTTCCAAAAAAATTTAAGTTTTTTCGAAGAATGCAATTAAAATTGTATTGGAAATATTTCAATTCTCATAAAGAATTTAATGAAAATTTTACGAAATAATTGAATTTATGCGAAGAATTTTATTAAATTTCTTTAAAATAATTAAATTCCTGCGAAGAATTTTATTAAAATTTTCGAAAATAATTCAAGTTTTTCGAGGAATGTAATTAAAATTGTAATGGAAATATTTCAATTCTCATTAAGAATTTAATAAAAATTTTTCAAAATATATTTTTGCGAAAAATTTTATAAATTTTGAAAGTAATTAAATTTCTCCGAAGAATTTTATGAAAATTTTCGAAAATAATTAAAATCTTGGTAAAAATTTATTTAAAATTTTCGATTTACATTTTCGTCTGCACAGAAAATTATTTCCCTATAAAAAATTAAATTCGCAAAGAATTTCTACGAGTTTTGTTCTCTCTTACTTTCATATTTTTTCGTTCTATTTTATTTCTCTTCTTTTTCTCTCCGCACATCTTTTTTTTCCCGGAAACGAAGAAAACAAAGTCTAACTGTATACAGGACGAGGGTGCTCTGAAATTTATTGGTGTTTTCAAGTCTAAGTGACCGAAGAAATCATTTCTTAAGAATTCCATATGAAAAACCTTGGGAAAAAAGTTGTCAGATCATTATCGGTAATATTTGTAGGCGTCTGTTTGGAAATTAGATTTCGATTTCTTTCACTTTTCCTTTAGAATTTGTATTTTTTTTTCCTACATTCCCATTATTGGTATGGAGTTAGTTTTTGGAAATTATTGATGAATGAAGTCATTCAGAAATAAAATTCTCAATCGATCAAAACTAGCTTTGGAATTTGGAAATTTGTGTCCCCCAAAAGCTCTGAACGAATTGAACAAAATTTATTTGTTTCTGTTTCGAATTTAAATAATAAAAAATTACGTCAGGTATTAAATAGTTAATAATTTTTATTTTTTGAATTTTTTTCCTGGAAATAAAAAATTATTGCAACAATTGTTTTTCGAAAATGTTAATCAATTTGGAATTTAGATTGTTTCTTCAACACTGTCACGTAAAAGTGTTAACGGAGTTTCTGTCTCCATGTTAGAATTCCTGAAAGTTGAGTGCTAGAAATCTATTTTCGTTGATTACTAATTTTACCTTCGAAACATTCATATCTCGACAATTAATCAAGAAATTTCTAAAAATACCTGATCATCGAATTTTTTAATATATAAACAAAAGAAAGTTATCTTGAAATTATTTTCTTCATTTTTTGAGTGAAAATCGTGAATAAAATTATTTTAATTAAGAATTTCGTTAATTTTCCCCTCTGGAAAAAAGAAAATTGTAGGAGAAAGACAGAGAGGAAGAGAGGATGGTTTCATATCCGCATACGTAATCGCTATTAGTCGTCTTTGAATTTATGAATATATTTTTTATGTTTGAGGAGCGACCAGAAATTCTCCTTTCGAAAAATTTCTATAATAGTAGCTAGAGGCAATAATTGACATGTGTGGCTTTTTTTTATTAAATGATCGTTTGTTTACATTTAAAGTCACCAAGAGCCGGTTTCTAAGAGCTCTCAACTTAGGTGAAATCGATCGGTAACGACATCCCTTTCGTCAGACCATCTGCGATAATAATTCCCGATGGGACGTTCTCCAAACTGCTCGAATTTCTCATTAGAAGCTTTAATTTTCAAAAATTTTCATAGAATCGCAATTTCAAATTTTGAAAAAAGAACTAAAATTCATCTACGCTTGTTTATATATTTATTTTCGTTTTATTTATTTTCGTAAATAATTTATCACATAAATATAGAATGAGAGAAGAGAAAATAGACTAAAGAAAGAAGAAAGGGAATAGAAAATGTTAATTTTCTCTAAAAGAATATTTATTGTGGAAAATAAAATATTTTTATATGGAAAAAGTCAAAACTGTTCACAATTTCAGGCTTTCTCGCTAAAATGCAGAGTCTGTGAAATTGCAACTTTGACTCGTAAATGACTTATTTTACTTACCATGAAACTATAAAATTACTCCCATAGAAAAAAATAATTTTAAGTAAATAATACGCGTCAGTTAATTGACCAAAACAGATAAGAATTTCTTGACAGTAATTTCTCGTAAAATGCATAAATAAGCAATTTATTTAAAACCACTTACAAAATATAAATTTATTTAAGTGCGAGTTGTAAAAGAATTTTTCTCAAACAGTTCTTTAAAATGTAAAAAAAAAAATTATTTCACATTCTTCTGTTTTTTTTTAGTTATAAATTTTGAATATTTAGGAAAAATGTTCCTGAATGTATTTATTAAATTATTATTAATTTGTTATTTATTTAATTATTATTTATTTCACTACTATTTGTTTGTTATTTATTGAATTAGTTATTCTCTTAATATAATTAACAATTTGTCAACAATTAAATATTTTAGTGAAAAATTCAGGGAAAATTCAGAATATTTGCTATTTTTGCATAAACAATTCTGAAATATAATTGATGTTTGTTTTTTTTCAGAAAAAAATACGCAAGAGTGAAAACAATGAAGCAATAAGAGACTATTTCGAGAGCAGCTCGTGTCCTTTTGAATCCTGAATGACATTTGTTGGACGTGGAAGGTTATTCGATAAATTTCAAGAATTACCAGTTCTCAAGTTTATATAAAACAGGTATTAAAAAATCCTATTTCCAAACATTTCTGACTAATAAGTTATAAGTAAAACTCGTTAGAGATAAAAATTTCATTCTCTTCCATTTTTCTCTTAACTTGAACTTGATAATTCTGGAACCATTAATTTTGCCATTAAGAATTCATTGAGTCACGAAAATTTAAAACAAATTTTAATATTTATCGTTTTATTATTTTTTAAATTTTTTATTCGTACTATTTTTTTATTACTATTTTTTTGTTACTATTCTTTATTATTTTTGTATTACTATTGTCTATATTTTATTACTATCGTTTTATATTTTATTAGTATCGATTTATATTTTATTGGTATCGTTTTTCGTTTTATTAGTATCATTTTTTATTTTATTAGTATCAATTTTATTTTTTTTTTATAAGAATCATTTTCTTTAATAGTATAATTATGTAAGACTCATTTTTTGTAACAGTGTCATTTTCTATTAATATCATTTTTTTATATTATTTATATCGTTTTAATTGAATAGAATTTTATTTTCATATTAATAATAAATAATTATAATAAATAATTTTATTTTCGTTTTAATATCTCATTATTATTCGTTTTTTTTCTCTCTAAGTATCGCTTAATCAATTTTTTGCAAAAAAATATGGAAAAATTATTTGGGTTGGAATTAAAATCTCAATTTCTGAAATTCGTGTACTGTTATTCGGAAATCTGCGTTAGTAAATGAGGAACATATAATGTTATTCAATTTATGCACAGAGGAATGCATATTCTCCTCGTTCAAACGTCACCTATATAATTACGTGCAATCAACTTAAGTGAGAAAAATACGGGAGGTCAGAATAAAACTCGAGAAGTAACGGATTATAAAAGAAAAGACTTTATCCGATCGTTGATCCATTCAAGGATTTTTTTTTCCACAGAAAATTATATTTTTCTCCTCGCATATCAAGTTCCGTTCGAGAAGAAATTATCATCGACTTATTACGCAAAAAAAAAAAAATTAATCGAAAACCAAATTATTTTTTTAATTGAAAGAAAAAACGTCTTTATTTATAAATTAAATTACAACAAAATAAAAGGAAAGAATTAAAATTAGAGAGTAAATAAAAACAGAATGAATATTTAGAAATAAAGTTAAATTGTTTTGAAAAAAAACACTTTAGAGAAAAAATCAAGAAAAGTAAAAAAATTAATTTAAAATTTTGAATTTGATTTAAAAGTCAACTTTTGTAAATCAAAATTGTAAATCAAAATCAAAATATTAAATATAAATTCAATTCTGTATTATTTTATTTTATTGATTAGAATTTATATTTATGATATTTTTATTTTGCAGATGAATCGAAGGTGAAAAAATTAGCGATCGATTGTAAAGGAGAGAAAAGGAGAGAGAGAGAGAAATAAAAGAAAATGTGTCAAGGAGAGGATACCTGTTTCCTCGATGGTAAAAGAGGAATAAGTGAAGTTTTCGCATCTCCTGCCCTGCACCTATAATTAGGTGTGGTTGAATGCCTTCAAAATTACATTCCACACCCGTGAGAGCGTCAAATTCTATTGGCTGAAAGATCTTGAACGATTCATGAACGAAAATCGAGTGTGTCACTGGGTCATCGCTAATTACAAGAATTCCTCTTATCTCACCAATGTCATCGTCAAGTCTCTCCGAAGAATCGATTTCGGTCCTTCGCGATATGAACCCACCAGGTTAGTTCCCCCAGATTAAAATTTACAAAAACAATTAAACCACACTCTATTGTTTGAATATTTTTTTCTATTTTCTAAATTGACAATCTATTCTATTTTTTTTTTTTTGATAATTAATTGTCAAACTTTTGACAAAAAAAAATAATAATAATAATTATTTAAATTAAATTAAAAATAATAATTAATTAATAATTTAATAATATTAATATTTAATAATTTAATTTTTATTTTATTTAAATTTCATAATTATTTTTTTTTATCACGGACAAATTATTTATTAACTAGCAAATAATATAGGCGGGGAATGCGGTACTCCATTTATTATTATTTTATAA